GAATAGGCCAGAATATTAGTACAGGTGTCTCAGTATCGCCTCTGATGGTCACGGTCCTCCCCTGCCCCAATACCTTGGTTCCACCTCACCCCTCCCCCCCGCCTGCAGTGGGATGATCACAGTGAGGAGCAATGCCCTCTCCAAACTCTACCACACCAAAACACTTGCAGAGCCAGGAAAAAGGCTCTTGCTGGTTTCCGTGTCAATGAAAAGCGCCAAAACTCCCAGGCGAGCGAGTGAGCGAGCTGCTTACTGTTGAAGGCATGAAAGAAATCCTCTGGGTCTGACCTAATGCCAGTCTGGGCCACCATCCTGTATCCCAGCGTGTCCAACCAGCTGCCTGTGAGAGGCCCAGAACCAGGATAGGGGACCGATAGCCTCCATCCTTTCGTAGCTTGGATTACAGCACACTCAGGGCTGGCGCTGAGGGAGGGCCTAGGCCGAGGGCCTGCGCTCCACTGGGAACTGGCTGGCCTGAGCACCTCCTCTTTGCTGTCACAAGCTGCTTGCTCCCCTGCCTCTTGCTCCTGGCTGAGGGGATGGTGGAGGTGGTGCTGCAAAGGGGGAGCAGGCGGTGCTGCTGCCTACGCGCCCCTGGTGCTCTGCCTTCGAAGCAAAGCATGGCAGCAGCGATGAGACGGGGGCTGCGAGGGTGAATGGCAGTGGTGTGCCAAGGCCCTTGGAGGCCTCTGGCCCAGGGCCCTCAGCACCGAGGGCTCTGCTGCCTTTTGGCTCGAGGGGCGATCTTGCTCTACCCAAGCTCTGTCCACAATTGCCCCTTTATGGCACGCTCTCTCAAGGCACCCCTTCCACTGCAGAGATATTTGCCATTCCCTGCAAACTGAAATGACTCTACCAGGAAAATGATGGGGGCATGTTGTGAGCAGAGCCAGCTGGAGCCAGGGGTCAGACTAGATGGCCCGGGAGACCCCTTCTGACTCGCTCTGTTTCTATGTTTCTATGACATTTTTTCCTAGCTCACAGCTGTCGTGTGGAGCAGGACCCCGTCAGCTAGTGCTCACACCTCTGGTGGAGAACTACAATCATCCTCCAACTTTCGTTGTTCTGTCAGCTTTCATAAAGCATCCTTAATAACATTTTATTTAATCTTCATGTTGATAGTAGCTGTGCATTTCTCAGTGCTGGGAAGGGTTTCTTGAGTGCTTAAGATCAACAAAGAGAAGCAGGAGGCATCTTCCCCTCCTCACTCCATCAAACCTTTTCAGAAACTTTCAGGTTTTTTTTGTTTAAATGCCTGTGTTGGTGGTCAATACCTGTGTCATAAAACAAAAGCCTGCTTGTGTGCTTCCCACTGGGATGTCTTGTCAGCTCCTATGGGAAATACTGTATTTATTTATTATATTGATACGCTTCCTATTTCCTTTCAAGGAGCTCAAGGCAGCTTGCATATTTCTCCTTCTCCTCTCAATCTTATCCTCACAAGAACAGCCCTGTGAGGTAGGCTGGACCAAGAGCCTGTGAGTGGTTCGATGCCACCCCGTGAGCTCCATGGCTGAGTGCGGACTTGAACCCGGATCTACTGGGTCCCGGTCTGCACTCTTAACCACTACGCCACACTGGCTCTCTGCTCCCCGACTGGAGGGAACACAAGATTCTTCCTCCGTTCATAATACTTCCTGCTACTTCCCAGCCATGACACCAGATTCAGAACACATGATACAGATAAGAACCATCCTTATATCCAGTTCTTATTGTCGGGGAATTTATTACGGTTTGACACTCTCAGGTGCAAGGGCACCAGCCCATCTACACATTACGCTCACACAGCGTGAGGTAAGATATTCTTGGATACCCCCCCCACACACACACATTAGACAGCATGTTTATTACTTCACTTGTGGAACATGCAACAAGCACGTCAGTTCTTCAGTGCCGCCTCCGTTCCATGTGTTTCACCTGCTTCCGTGCTCGTGATATGTCAGAGCAAAAACGTAACCATGCTATCGTGGTTTTCCATTCTGAACTCACTTAGCCCATGACTCCATCATGTCTGCAAGCATAAAACGGTGTTTGCTTCTGCTACCTTGATGTCAAACACATGGAGATAAGCACCATTTTGTTATAGAAAGAGATCCTTTATCTTGCAAGAAAAAATAATAAATAAATGTAACCAGAGATGTGCCTGGCCAGCACATCTTTTTTAAAAATAAGAATAAGAAAAGGATATTATGGTGACCCTTGTAATTCCTGCTGGCCCTAAAATGGGGTCGTGCAGCTCTGAGACCACCACAGGGTCTGGCCAGCCCTTTTCCGATCAGCTGCCGCTTTCTGGGTGGCCCTTTGGGGATTCCTGGACTTCAGGGCCTGGCCGGATTGCGCCACTCTTACCTCACCAGATAACAGCAGTCTGGCCCTCCTTGTTAACCCTCCTCCCACTCCACCTGGGCTGTGCTGAGGGAGATTAGAAATCACGCACAATGTTCTATCTGCAGTTTTTTGCTACTTCTCTGCATTGTATAAACTTTTCTGCACAAGCCTTCCCAGTTTCGTGGTGCGATCGAAATCTGAGCTTGATAAAAAGAGCTTTTCCTTTTCTGCTTTTCCACAATGTAACCTCTAGATGTCATTGTGGTATAAGCAGAACAGTGCAAATTTGCAAGAGGAAATTGTGCTTACAGAAACTGTATTCCACTTTCTCCATTTCACTTTCCAGGTGAAAGTGCTCTAGAAAATAGAAGCAACACAGAAGGGTTACAATGCCATCGCCAAAGCCCATTAAAATGAGTCAGAGATGTTGAATATGCAGTAAATGCTACGTGAAGGAAAGCTCCCCACCGTTTCCAAAGAGAGAATCTATGCCCGTCTTTTCTTCCCCATCAAGCAGAAAGCATCTGTGTGAGGATGAGAGGATTATCATCAGTTAAAAGGTATTGGAGGAGAGGCTTGAACTCCTTTTCCTAGGATGGCTTTTCTTCAGCTCATGGCAGTCATGGGGAACTTCGAATTTGTTGTGTTGTGTTAAAAAAAGATCCTAATGGGTGCAGATTCGAATCATAAAGTTCCCACATCCTATCTAGTTTGGTCCTTAGGGGGAACTTGGCTACAATGCTAAATCCTCAGACCCATTGGCTATTCCTTGTAATACAGAAATATCAGAAATTTACTGATTAATAAATTCGTCTCACTTGGGGGGTGAAAACTAGGGTCATTTGGGAGTCCTAAAAGCACCTTCAGGACACAGCTGGATCAAGTCCAGGGAACTGGGATTCTCACACAGTGATTCACATATCCACAACTCGCCCTTACACTGTGCTCTACTGAATGCCTGGCTTGACTCTGCTGAAAAGTGTAGGGCAGGGGAAGGCAGCCCTGTGAGATCTGGAGAGATGCTTTTTCTTCCTGGCCTCCCCGTGGGTCACACCTCCTTCCACACATACACTGGGCAAAATAAATATTTTAAAAAGGATTCTTTATGGTAACGACAGGGCACTAAAACAGTCCAAGAGGCTTCAAAATGGCCACTCCCACTGGGAGACAGAGGGGGTCAACTCCATACAAACTCAGTATAAAATTAAAAAGTGAGGCGTGGGATCAGGAATGCCCTGCCTAAGGGACTTGACGCGTGAGTTAGGATCCATGCCCATGCTTCTGCCATTTGTCCTCTGCCCAACCCACTGTGGAATATTGACAGTCTACTTAGGACTGTGCAGTTCCTAGAGTGAATTCCCCAACCTGGGGCCCTGCAGATGCATTGGACTACAACTCCCACAGTCCCTCAGCCATGAAGGTGGTGAGAGGTGTAGTTCAACACATCTGGAGGGCACCAGGTTGGAAAAGGCTGCTTCAGGTTAGGAATGGCAGGTTCTCCTTGCTGAACAGAGATTGTGGTTTGCCAACTAGCTGCCCACACACAACCCATTCCCACCAAGGCGAAAGCAAGTAAGGGCAGATTTTGAAAGAAGCAGCCCTGGCAGGGAAGAGAGGGCTGCCTGGCAAAGCTGCCCTTGCAATCTGGGACACACCATTCGCTAAGCACCACAACAGCAATGGCGTATTTTATTAATTTTAGTTGTTATAGGCTGCAATGACAATATCAAAAGTAGAAAATATGTGGAAGGTACAAAAAACAACAATGGCAATCCAGAAGCAACCATTGATCTTGTCATTCTTGAAGTACGACATTAGATGGTCTATCGCTATGTCAGAACGGAGGTGAATAGCAGGCCCTGAATCACTGTTGCTTGTGGTTGAAGCTGGAGAGCTAAGCTGCACCCCAGTAGCTGAAGCCCCTGCACCGCACCCCGTCTTCAGGGCAGCAGGAGCAGTATCAGTCCATGACCCAAAGCAATGCAGCCCCCCGCTGGTGCAGAGGAGGGAAATCCCTTTCGGGCACAGAACAGTGGAGCAGGGGGGCTGGCCTTCGATTCATCGCCTGGATGCTGGGATCACTGGGTGCTGGAAGGCTCAGCTTCATTTAAGGACGGCAGGCACAGAAACCAGAGGGGGAATTACACTCAGCAAGTGAGGGGCACTTTCGGTCAGCACCTCCCTCTCCCTGTGAGTTCAGCATTGCCTCCAAAGGCGGTGGGCATCTTGTTCTGGATGCAGAAGACCTGCATTCAGATCCCTGATCAGCTGTGAAACTCATTGGACAGCCTGGAGAAATGCTTGGAAAATAAATTTCTCCCTCTACTGACCTCCTGGGAACAGTTGTGAAACCCTAATAAAGCGCTGCTTTTTAGAGGAAGGGCAGAATATACATGGAACAAATAAATAAAGACATAAATAGTGGCCTTTGCAGCTTGCTCAGACCCTTTGTCTCTCCTTATTCCTTTGAACCATGACTGGGGCATTCTTGACCAGGAGGCAGGCGGCAGGAATGCCATATCCTGCCAATCCCAGGTTCCTCCGCAGATCTCCCCCCCGTCAGCACCTGTGTCTTCAGGGATTCCTTACTGTAGATAAGGCAAGGGGCCACCTTGCTTGTGATGTAGCTCCCCAGAAGAGATGGTGAGGGATCCTGCAAGCATCTGCCCTGTTTATTCGTTCTGTCTCACGAGCAGTAGCCAGGGGAGCACAGCCCCCAGCAGAGCAACAGTGGAGACAAGGAAAATTGCCAACATAATGGGTGACTGGAAGCAGCCTGTGCCTAAAGACCTCTGGGATGCCACTGATCCCGCAGCTTCCACGCGGCTGTCTTGAGCGCCGGGCACGTAGTTCTCTTCAATCAGCGGCATTCCACATTGGGTGATCATGAAGATGTGCGATTCTGGCTCCCAGCCACCAGGTGGCACCACTGAGTCCCTACTAGGGCAGCCATAGACACTGTGGCTTCTCTGGAAGGTGTGCGACGGCATCAGGAAATGGCTGGGCACCATTAATGTGTTTGCTGGTCCCGGGGACACTCCGCAGGGCAATGAGGACGGTGAGAGGGGCAACTCCAGGGATGACGGAGGGGTCAGAGCTTGCTTGGAGGACCAACACGCCCTCTTCTTGCACAGAAAGGTGACAAAGCGGCAAACAGGGCAGATGAGGCTGTTCTGGAACCGCCCTTCCTCCCGGGATGCCAGCAGGCACTTGACCAGGCAGTCATGGCAAAAGGTGTGCCCGCAGCTCAGTGTCCGGCGTGAAACCTTTGGAGACTGGAAGGGCTCGTAACATACAGGGCACTCTGCTGAGGGGACCGCGGGAGCTTCCTTGCTGGTCTTGCCCTGCGACATCCCCGGCTTCTGGCTCACGCGTGTGGCACCTAGCTAGACGAAAGGCAGATTTATAAGGTCGATCCATTGCTTCAAGGCAGCAGGAATCTCCAGGATGGGGCACCCCCTAGCCTGTCTGGTGTCACAAGGTGGCCCTCTGCGCTTCTTGAAAGAGCCACACCTTCTCCCCCTGCTCCTGCTTGCTTCCAGCCACAGATAATTCAGTGGTTCCCTGGCTTTTGTGCAGCTCTGTCCCCATTCTAAAGGGTTAAAACACCCCTCCTATGGCTTAGTTACTGACATAAGAGCTTTGACCAAAAAAACAAAACAAAACAAAACCCTGGAATATTTGGCTCCACCCCTTTGTCTTTGGCTCCTCCCACTAGTAGAATGTGGCACCCAAGAATGGGGCTTGACACTTGGGCTGAAAGAAACTCTGCATTACACAGGGAAGAAGAGAGTGTGGATGTTTCAACAAGAATGTCCATGGTCCCAGCCCATAAGAAGGGCCACCATCCCATACAGGGCAATGTGCCATTTTCCAGTGACCTGTGGGTAGGTATGGACTTTTAGATGGGACAGATGCCAAGAGGGCTAAAAACAACCCCAGATGGTACAGGATTTCAAATAACCACAAATGCGAGATGGTCCCATTTTTCCATTCTAAATTTACGTTTACAGCTACATTTTCCCCATGACCAAGACAACTACAATTGTTGCCATGTAGGCTGTTTTTAAAACTGGTATTTTTAAAAAGTGAGTGTCATACACATACATTCTCTCTCTCAAATATACATACGTACAACCTATAAGAGATACAACCTCTCAAACACCCCCCCCCCCCCCGCCGAAGTAATTGCTTCATTAACTCACCAAGAATGGATGTGCTACACAGAGACAGACAGATCAACAGATGCATAGACATGCCTCACCCATGGAGACCATCCGGAGCATGCATGGTTTTCTTCAGTTCAGGAACTTTTGCAGGAGAGACACCCCTCTGGCATCCTGCTGCCACCTTCCCCTCCAGAACCCGGCCTTCCCCAAAGTAGGAGAGGAATCTCTCCATGTGCTCCGTGTTTCTCACGCTGGCTTTCTCTGGCACCACTATGACCAAGCCCAGCCTATATAAAAAGATCTTGCATCAGAACTTTAAGAACAGCAAACAGCCAGGAGGGTGGCTCCCGCGGAGTGAATGCGGAGGAACTAGTTTGTGAATCGAAGGTTTCTCCTTCTAAATCAGGACTCAGGGAGGAGTCAACAGAGCAGAGTGTCTCATTCACATATGTCCTCACAGAGATTCCACAGGAGCTCTTTTCTGTGCCGTGCCATGCCATGCATGGACACCATGTGCGCTGCCTAGAGCACAGGATAGTGAAACCGAGATGGATATCAGTCTGGCACTCCACCCCACCTTCCTCGTGATTTCCAGGAGGGGCTGCTGCTCGGACCGTGCAGAAGGGGAGGCGCCTGCCTGCCAGCAGCAACCCTCACAATGACGTCCCCAACAGCAGCGAGGCCGCTGCGCTCCTCACCCTGGAGCCAATGGCTGTGTGGGGTGGGAAGACCAGTCCACATGCCACCTTGCGGCCCTTCGTATGGCCTAGCCTACAGCTCCCATCATCCCTCCCCATTGGCTAGGCTGGCGGAGGATGATGGGAGCGGCATCTCAAGCATCAGGAACGGCCACAAGGCGCCCGTCCCTGGTCTAGAATCCAGATTCCAGAATGTAGACCAGTCTAGCCGCCTGGCCACTGGGCTGGCATCGAGGGAGGGCCATGGGAATTACCAGCTCATTTCCAAGCATCAATACAAGGTGCCAGATTTGACTGGGCAGCCTGATCCTCGTGAGCCTTGCTCGAAAATGATGCCCCTCAAGTCAGTGAGAGTTAATCTTTAGGAAGCATGCATAGCGTTGCAATCTGTATGTGGCCAGATCGTGTAAGGTACTCCCTTGCCCATCAGCCCCTCGTAACCCTGACTTTTGCCAAGGCCCTGCTCCACCTGAGTTTCAGTTGGCATCTTCTAGGAACAAGGATAACTCCAACTTTCTCTCGCTCAAGACAATGGAGGGGGCATAATTTGATTTCAACCAATTCCTGACTTAAATCCTGGATTTTCAGAGCCTGGTTAAAACTCTCCCCACCCCCACCGGACAGTTTAACAATTTAAACATTTAAAATTTTTAATGCTTTGACTTAATTGTACATTGTGTTTTTGTTTAGTTTTCTGGTTGAAGAGTCATCGCTGGGGGTTTTGCCTTTTCATTTGTAATTGTGTGGCAGTGGCTATATTAGGTGGGATTTTTAAAATTTGTACTCTGTCTGGGAATGAAAGGTGATGTACACATTCTACAAATAACATCCATTAAATGAATACTCCTCCTCCCACAAGGCCTTTAAGGTGGGCCAGGGCTATGCTTCCCTCACGCAGTGGGAAGATTCATGCAGCCCTTAGACTGAGCTCATGCTTAGGCACAGGCTGAAGCAGGGCTTCCCGGCTGAGAGGACGGCTCTTGGCAACCATGGCTCTGTGCCACGGCTGTGTACCTGGCCTGCTTGCACTCTGCCTGGTGCAGGGTGAAGGCAAAGCCACGGGGAACCGAAGCCCTTCAAAACAGGGGAGGGCATCTGAACAGGAGCAAGAACAGTTCCTCGAGACCAGCCTTTTCGACCTGCACAACAATGACCTCCTTGGTGCCGTTGCATCACCGCTCCTTGAACTTCCACATGTGCTCCAGATTTGAAGGAAGAGGAAGGTGATGATGATGATCTCACCCGCTGTGCCTGTCCCTGTTTTCCAGGGTAGTTCCCCTTGTCTCTGGCGAGTGGAACCTCCACCCCACTGTCCTGTCTTCCGGGAATCCATAATGGCCCTGACCAGGCAGGCTGAAAATGAGGAAACAAGGGAGGTCGACCCCTGGCCCTTCCCACCATGGAATGAGGACAAATGGAGGGTGGGAGGAAGCCCACGGCAAGTGTGGTTGTGTTCCTTTTTGTGAGGAGGGAGCCTGCAGGGATCAGGGAGCTATCAGCCCCCGCCCCCCACCAGGGTGTCTCCATCCATCCTGGCCCCAAAGTTGGTGATAAGCAGGGCATCCATCATCAGATCCCCAGCCGTTTTGCTCATGTGAAGGCTGCCTTCCTCACCCCAGACCCTTCCACGTGTTGGATTACAGCACCCATTATCCCCAGCCAGGACAGCCATGCTGCTTGTAGTCCATACATCCAAAGGCCACCAGATTTGGGAAGGCTGCTCTAAAGCACCCGTGGTGTTTGGTGGGGGCTCTGATGGCCAGAGCAATGGCGCTGGTCGGGCCCTTTCTCCAGGCTGCTTCCCTTCCATCCCAAAGCTGCCTTTGCCTCCCCTGGGAAAATGTGCCAGTCCACCTGTGGCATCAGCACAGTTCCTTCCCGTGCTCGTTGACCCACCTCTGTGCTGCTTCACCTGATGTGTGCATCTCTTGCCTGCAGGGCTCCCAGGCACCAGCAGCCAGTATCCGAGACTCCTGCTGCGGGACGGCAGGCAACACTGGTCTTCCCCCAGGCGTGCCCGCCAGGGAGACGTCTTGTCCCTCCACGGCTCTTTCCCCTGGTTTCGCTAGTCCTCCTGATTCCATCTGGGACACCCCTGCATGTCCCAGTACCCGCTCAGAGGTAAACCATGAAGGGTAGTCCACTGGGAACCCTCCCTGTGGGGAGGCTGGTTTTGGTATCCTGCCTGTGGGGACCACTGCAGAAGCTGCTTTGAGAAATAAAACACCCAGCTCTACGGCACAGCTGTCGCTGCACTGTGCCCCTTCGGGTGGCGAGCGAAGCGCTTTATGCCGAAATGCCCCCGCATTTATAGAAAACTAGCATCTCACAAAGAAGAATGGGATACCACCCGTCTCCCAGCTTGCTATTTTACCCTCAACCCAAAGTGGTAGTCCAGCAAGAGCCGTGCCATAAATCATTCTATTTGCACTGTGGCTTGGCTGCCACCTGGCCTTCCAAGGTGTTAGTATTAGTAAGTACCTCATCAACTTTATCGCTTTTACAGAAGAGGAGATTAAACATGGAGGAGGAGAAAGTGTGCCAGGAGGATGGTAGACTTCCTGCCCTGCCCTGAGTTAGGGTACTGGTTCCTAAGTCATCTGCCGTTCAGGAAGAAATTGCCCTTGGGAGCTCCAAATGATGTGTAAGCCCAGAAAGGATATGAAGAAGGCACCTGCTAGCCAAGCAAGGGGCTTGCGGGCTGGAGCCCGTGTCTTCTCGAACCGCGGATCTGGGGATCGGGGTCTCTCTCATATTTTGGAGCACAATTCACTCTTCAGCCCAGTTCTCCCAAGATGCTTGTCACTACAGCTCCCGTCAAGCCCAACCAGTGTGGCCAAGGACTAGTCTGAAACACCTGAAAGGCACCATGTTGAGAAAGCCCAGTCCAGTTTAGGGTTTAGCTCTTACTGAAGTAATAGATCTATTTATTTTATTTATTTATTAAAAGCTTCTCTGACCCATCCACTACAGATGTCTTGGGATGGCATACCAAAAAAAAAAAAAAAAAATCTGTGCCTGGAACAGGAGGAGGAGGAGGAGGAGGGCAACGGCAATGATGATACTCTTAGGGCCAAGTTACATTAACTATATGAGGTCAGTAACTGTATTTCCTTATCTTTTTACATTAATCTAAAAGTAGCTACGGGGGGTGGGGTGCTCCAATTTCGACTGCAGCAACAGTTCTGGGAGAGGGGCATTTAATCCTCCCATGCCATTTTTCTTATCTCTATTTCCCTCTCAGTCGCTACTGTGAAACGCATACGGGCATCTCCACAAATAAGGAGTTAAAACAGCAGCGTAAGGTGATGTAGTCGCACAGTTTGCCCATAGGACACAGACCAACTGGGAGAAGATGGGGCAAGGACCCTTCTGCCCGGACATGCAGTTTGTGCATGGATTCTTATTTCTGCAATTTTTAGAGGAGAGGCATTCCACCCGATGAGCTGCACCTGCCCTCTGAAGTGGCGCTGTCCCGGCGCAGGC